GAGAGAGAGAGAGAGGAGGGAGAGAAGGAGAAGAAAAAAAAAAAGTGGAATTTGATATATGACAAGTATGCAGCTGATATTTCTAGCAATTTTAAAAAAAAATAGACTTTTTTATTTTTGAAAAAATTTTTAGTATTTAGAATATTTTTTCCACTTTTTTTCAATTTGATAAATTTTCATTCTGTAATAAAAAGAAAAAAAATTTAAAGTTCACAACATTACATAATTTTCATTATTTAAATTCCAATATTTAATATTTTGAATTGACATTTCACATATTAGTATTTAGCGTTTTAATTTTAAATATTTCAAATAATTTAATTAATATTTTCTAAATAATTATAAATACATTTTTTTTCAAATATTCATTGTATTAGCTAGTAATAAATTAATTAGTAAAAATATTTTTCTTTTCTTTTTTTTTTTTTTTTCAAACAATTATCATAAATTTATTTATTTCAGTTATTGTTATTGTTGTTGTTGTTGTTGTTATTGTTGTTGTTGTTGTTGAAATTAATTAATTTTCTAGAAATAATATTATGGATAGTGAATATCGTATTATCCTAAATGTTGGTGGCATACGACATGAAACATATAAGCATACGCTTAAAAAAATTCCTGCGACACGTTTAAGTCGTTTGACACAAAATTTGGCTAATTATGATCCCGTTCTCAATGAATACTTTTTTGATCGTCATCCAGGCGTTTTTGCGCTTATTTTAAATTATTATCGTACTGGTAAATTACATTATCCATTAGATGTTTGTGGGCCACTTTTTGAGGAAGAATTAAAGGTATTTTACTTTTTAAATTTTTAATTTTCTATATATACTTTGATATTATAATTAATTATATACATCTATTATTGGGTAGTTGTAATTAAATATTTTGAATTATTGAATAATTAATTATATAATTATAACATCACATTTAATTAATTATATACTCATAATGGTAATGTTGAGGTATTGGTAGTTGGAGTAATATTAAATTAAAGTAATATTGAAGTATTGGTAGTTGGAGTTGGAAGAATTAATTTCTATATATTTTGCTATATTACTTAAATAAATAACTATTTAATCAATT